ATCAACGATGAAATGCATGTGCTTGCCGTCACACTTTGTATGTATTTGAGATTTAATGCAAACTTAATGGGATTTTCTCGCTGAATAAATTAAATTTTGATGTAACTTTCTTGACGAAAAACTGAAGGAAAGAGCATGCAGCTTTATTTTAAAGAGATTTAGTTTTTGGGGGAATCTTTAGTGATGTCAAATGTTTGATGGTTTCTTTGAGTTGTCCACTTAGTGACCTTCTGTACTAAATTAATCAGTTTGATCTTAGGTTTATCTGAATCCAGTGATTTAATACTGTTTTAGTCATTTAACGGTGTGTTATAAGGTTAGGTGTGAGAGCTGCAATGAATGTTGAGCAGCCAATTAATGCACTGGCTTCAATAGTTTTCTTTTTAATTCGTTTAACTGACTAGATCAAATATGGCTGCTCTTAGACGCCTTAATAGATAACTCTGAATCTAGCTCCTACTTGTGAATATCCGATATCAAGTGCATCATTAAATCTATAAGTATAAGAAGCTTACCATCATTTTTAAACGATCCCCTTTTTCTGTTAATTAAAAAAATGTTCAATGTAATAAATTTTACATTTCTTTCATTTCTATTCGTCTTTAAAAAGATTTCATGAGCAAAAAACAAAAATTATCTGCTAAAATATGTTTGTGAAAGATTTATGTTAAGGCAAAACATACTTAATTGAAGAAAACAATTTTTAACTTTTGAATGAGGAAAATAAAGAGACTGAATTGAATGTGAAACTACACCCACATTCATTTATTGTATGTACTTTATATATTTTCGACGTGTATTAAATCTTTAATTGAAGGAAAGGCTGAATTCTTTTTTCTTTCTGTTTTCTGTGAAAATCGAATCATGAATCTTGATAAATTTCATTTGGCTTGTTTATATGCATACATACATGCTTCCCTTGTAACAAATAAATAAAGAGCATTGTCATTAAACGAGGGAAAAAAAATCATTTTTAGCACAAAATGCCAACGACCTCGTTTGAAATTTGAAGCTCGTCTCATTGCTAATACATGTCCATCTTCATAAACTGACAACTATCGTCTTAGTGATGTTTTTAAAATGAGAAGAAAGTTGTCATCACTTGTCAAATTCACATCACAGAGAAGTACTTGAAAACGTTTAGATTATCTAACGAGCATGTGTCACGTTATGAATAATTTGTGCTTTATGTGAGCACAGAAATTATTTTAATCATGCAATTTTTTTCCCGCAAGGTCAATAATAAATTGAAATTGATTTCAATTAATCGAAAGTATTATTGTTCCTACTAGCATTAGTAATGCTGGATATTCTTTGAAAGGCAATATGACTTGATGATTTTTTTTATGACTTGAATAATATTCAATATTTTTTCATTTAATTACTTTGTTGAAAAATCCGAGTTACAAGTTTAAGTTTGCAATGTTGTTCAGTCAGTTGCTGTTCACTTTGGGGGATTTTTATATGATTTGGAATCTATTTGAAAGGAACAGAACCAGAATAATCATACAAAGTGTAAAGGGTGTCTCACTTTGGTGCAGATTTTTTAAGATTAAATCTTAAATTAATTTTAAAAAAATATCAATTTTTAGACATTTCTGCTCTTTGACTCCTTTAGACCTCATCAAATCACCTTAACCCTCAACTTTTCAAAAATTAGCAAACTAAACTCAGTTCAAAATACCGTGAAATTTTCAAAAAACTTAAATCTCAAGTTTCAACCTCAATTTCAATACAACAATAGTCTTACTCGTTGACTTTATGTTGAAATCCATATCAAATTAAAGATTTCGCAAATTTTTTTGACATTCACAAGAGGTGATTATTAAAATTCTCAAAAAATAAAAATAATAACCGTGAAATATTAGACTGCTTATTGATTCACGTCCATAGATAAAAAAGTCTTACTTTGCATAATACGACAAAATCCGAGGACAACCAAAACGAAAGCATAAAAAAGGCAAATTTTTATTTCTTGTGCTATAAAATTAAAAAATAAAAATTGAAAAATAAATAATAATAAATGACTAAAATGCCCTTGATCGTCATTTATTCATTTATTATTTCTCTTTTTGCGTATTATTTGCACTTGTCTAATTTGAATATTTCTCCTCCTCCACTTGAGGCTTAACTTTGCTTTTTAAAAAATAATGACAGGCGAAAATATGAAAAATAATAAATAGAAATAAAATGTGCGAGAGCTGTGACGTAGTAAGGGATTTAGGTTATGTCAGACGTTAGGGTAGTGACACTAGGTTGCCTTTATAACATAAAAAGGGTTCATTAAGGTCAGGGCTTCCTTCTCGTGATTTTAATTTCTATGATAAAAGTATCAGACCCTTCAATAAGTCGGACCAAGGGGATAACAACATAATGGGGAGCAGTTTTAATAAAATTCAAAAAAAATTTTAAATACGTATCTGCACTTTCCCCATCCCCTCCAATGCCAATGCATGACAACTAACACCACACTTAAAGCAATGATGCAATATGTATTAGATGTATTAATGTACATTACTGTCTGTGCCAAACTATTACTCATATCATGATAGCTCATTTAAATTATATAGAACGTATCGAAAAGTCTAAAATGCTTAAATTGCAAAATATAAATTTAAACTGCGATAAAAAAGCTACTGAGAGAACTTATGACACATTTTATTGCAAGTCAAGCAAGTGAGTGGACGACTATACATAGTAGCTGCAGTCTCGTGATTTATTTTTAAAAAGTAAGTCTCTTTTTTCTAAATTAATTAATGATCTCAATCAAAAAAGGAATACTTATTTCGAAAAAAATGTGAAGCCACAGTCAGCCATGGCCCACAAAAACACATTTTTCACCGCTCAATCAACCGCAGAATGTTGAATGAGTTGTCAACAAACGTACAGAATATGTAAACAAGTTAATTAATAGACAAATACATGTATTTGTGTGTACAAAGTTTCTGTGCCTCATCGTTGATGATTTAAAGCTAATAATATGTGTGATTTTCTAAGGCAAACAGCCAGAAATTCTTATGCAAATTAATTTATATCATTTAAAAAAATTAAAATTCTTTTTGACAATCGTGTGCTGTGCTGTGTGCTTATTGCGCAGTAAAATTTTAATTTATTTCTCATTTCCATTATTGTTATTTCTGCAATCAATTTTTCGAAAAAAAAACAATGTTTTTGTGGTTTTCGGAATGTATGTATCAATTAGCCAATTAAATTCCCGAACAACATATCGATGGCTTTTGTGGCGAGTATTACTATTTTGCGAGTGATATTATATCGTTTCTTAGTCACAGTAAAATAATACATTTTCAAAATCTTTAAAGAATGAGCTTATAACTGCCAAATCATAAATGTGGTTTGCATCGTGAAGTCAGCATTCACATTCAGTTCCCATTGTCAATAATTGACACAAAAATTCAACCAAAAATTATTTCCCGCACGAAAACTCCACAAATTTATTCCAGTTTAGCCTTAAAATGATTCTTCTGTAAACCTGTCAAGTTAAACAAAGAAATGGAACATTCTTAATGCTCAGCCTGAAGCGAGACAATCGTGTACAAGTCAAATGATATTATCAATCGTGAGGTGTTGCTCGGAATGTATTCCACTTATTTATAAAATTATTTCTTTACAAGTTAAAGCGCTGACATGCCATAAATGCCTAAAAAGAGACATTTCAATAAATGAAAATTGAATATCATTACATCAATTTGTAAAACCCAATTTATCGTCATCAGACAATGGCAATAGAATAAACAAGACTACATACATGAATTTTTTTTCTCTCTGTTGGGTCGATGTGACGCCTTTAGCATGTTTATATCCACTTGTGCTGACAAACGCATTTTATTTCAATGGCAAATGAATAAAAATAGTTTTTTTTTATTTTGGAATTTCTTATGAGAAACTTTATTCATCCACACTGCCCTCTTTGTCATAAACTTTGTTACTTCTATTTATGACAAGTCTTTGAAAAAACGTCATTTGTTGGTTCCTTTAATCTTTTGAGATAGATCTGACTCTCTTTTGTTGTTCAAAAATTTTAACACCGCAATATTCTTAATGTGCTGAATTTTATGGCGTGTGGCTGGCTTAATGTTAATATCTTTTATTATTTTGTGGAGCACATCAAAGAAGAAGAGATTTCTATTCATTTCAGCTTGCTACATTTACTTTTTCGTTGAGATCTTTAGTACTGTAAACCCAGATCTCTGTGTCAGGTCAGATCAAAGATGCTGGCGAAGGCAATATTTCAACTAGGCAATGGAGAAGACTTAGATAATATGGGTTACATGAATTAGCATTGTCTGAATCTAGATAGAAAGTCAGAACCTCGGTTTCCAGTTTTATTCAATTTCTCTTATTAATTTGTTCAAAGTTAATCTGGATGTTAACTGGATCTTATTATTATGGAAAAAGTAAATGGAGGAACCAGTTCCTGAATAAAGGAACTTCTCTATTCTTCTTATAATTTTCAATTTCCTGCAATATATGTTGAACTTTATTTGTCATCGGAAATAAAGTTTTTCACTAACATGGTTTCCTTATGCATGCAGTCAATAGTCTGCACATTTCGTCTGTGTAAAATGGCAGTTCATATGTTATGAACTTGGAAAATCCCATTACACAATCTCGTCTGGAATGGAACTTTTCTTCTTCTTTCCTATTTTTTTTCTATTTTCAATATCATTCGAAAGTGCATTCAAGTAGAAATGCATGCAAGAACAAAGACAAAGACAGGAAAATCAAATTAAGCAATTTTCCATGTTTCCTTTTTGGCTCAATTTGTATAAAATTGAATTTGATTCTTCCGTGATTTTATGCAAACTTTTATTTTTTTGTTTCTCAACACTTAATTGAGCTTAGCTTATCGGTTGTGGCAATCAAGCTACATGCAATAATATCACGACAGTCTTTCATTGAAAATTATTTAAATATTTTTAAGTCTAAAATTTATGCAGCAATAATTAATAATCATTTTCAATTTCCTGTCCTATTTACAGATTCGAGCTTAAAGCTGCTGTCAACATAGTCAGCTTACGATGGCCGAACGGTTACGCACAATAAGCGTAGGTGAATGTGACTCAGACATTGGTATAAATGATATATTCTCAAGCTCCATACATTCAGAGCCTTCTTTAATGAATACATCACAAATATCAACATCATCGCAAGATTCACAGCAAAGACATGGAGGCAATTTGTCTAAATCGCCACATAATTTACAATCTAAACAAGTGCGTAATTCTCTTTTCTTTGAAATCATTCTAGCATGACTAACCATATTTTCTATCTTTTAGGTTGGATCTTCGTCATGTCGCTTCCCAAAACTTGAAGAATGTGCGCATTTTCATTATGAAAGAGTACAGTTGGGCAATATCTTGATTCGTTTAATTGAAGACAAGCCAGATATTGTTGTTGGTGCAGGAAGTTTATCACAAGATCAACAGTCACATTGGTTCATAATTAATGTCTCAGCTGGACGATCCGAACCATTCTTAATAAAAAGATCTTTACAAAATATGAAAATGTTGGATCAGATGTTACATCAATGTGTCTATGACCGTCGTGTGAGTGACTTACAAGATCTTTCTGAACTTAGTGAGTTTACAGATGAAGAGGAACTGCTTGATACTGTCGATATTTACCTGTCAAGATTATCAAGAATTGCTAGTGATTCAATGACATGCGGATCAGTTTTGACATGGCTTCAGCTTGACAACAAAGGAAGACGACTTCCTGTGGCTGATTCCGATACGATGTTAACGATTAATACTCCAGCAGTTGGTGCTGCTTATGGCATTCGTCGATATGTAGCACAAGCTTGTGATGAAATTTCGATAGAAGTTGGTGATATGATTTCTGTCATTGATATGCCTTCTCCTGCTGAGTCGCTATGGTGGCGTGGAAAGAAAAATCATTTTCAGAAAAATCAATACGAAGTTGGATTTTTCCCTCAAAATTGTGTAGCAACGATTGGCGAAAAAGTTCCGAGACACATGCCACTTCCAGCACCATTAGTTGGCTCACTAGCGATATCACCCACAAAGCCTGTACTTCGAAAGCATGGAAAATTAATTACTTTCTTCAGGAGCTTTATACTTGCACGTCCATCACGTAGACGTCTCAAACAGAGCGGAATCTACAAGGAACGTGTATTTAGTTGCGACTTAGGTGAACATTTAATGAATAGTGGTCAGGAAATACCGCAGGTGCTCAAAAGTTGTGCTGAATTTATTGAACAATTTGGTATCGTTGATGGTGTCTATCGACTTTCTGGAATTACTTCCAATATACAAAAACTAAGAAGAGCTTTTGATGAAGAAAGAATTCCTGACCTCACGCAACCTGATATCAAGCAAGACATTCATGCTGTTACTTCATTATTAAAAATGTATTTTCGTGAACTGCCAAATCCATTGTGTACTTATCAACTTTATGATAATTTCGTAGAAGCCATTCAAGCGCGTTCGGACGGTGAAGATCTAAGACTCAAAATGGTAAAGCAAACAGTCAGAAAACTTCCACCTCCTCATTATCGTACATTAAAATATTTAGCGTGCCATTTGTGTAGAATCGCTAAGCATTCTGCAAAGACAGGCATGACAGAGAGAAATATTGCTATTGTATGGGCTCCGAATCTTTTGAGAAGTCCTGCACTTGAATCAGGTGGTGTGGCTGCATTGCGTGGTGTTGGCGTTCAGGCTGTCGTGACAGAGTATTTGATTGTTAATTCTGTTGCAATATTTGCTGACACAAATGAAGACTATGACTTCTACAATAATTCACAACCACATTCATTGAGTGATACGAGCAGTCTCCAAATAGATCAACGTGATGCAAGTCTGTCAATGATTGAGAGACCAAAAAGCTTAGGGATCGGTCCACCGAAATTGATTAGTTTAGAGGAAGCACAAATTAGGAAAAACCAAAGAGAAGTTGATAAGGCAATGCCAATCATTCCGACATCAACACACAACGCTTGCAGTTCATACATTGAAGTTGGTGGTGGACCTGCAAGTTTGCCTGAAAAGTATCACACTGTGCTTCCAGTTCCAAGGTAAAAATGTTTAATTCTGAGCATAGTATGACTTAATATTAATCATGAAATATTTTTATGCAGAAGTTGGAACAAAAGGAAAACAAATTCATGGAAGTCTATATTCCAGCGAGGTGGTGGTGGTCGTTCATCAAATATAAAATCTAAACTAATTTCTAATCCAATTGCTGCCAAAGAAACTGTTTCAAAAATTGAAAAGAAAATAAATGAAATGCGTAAGGAACTTCCAGTCATTGTTTCAGCAAACAGCAGTAACAATAGCAGTTTCAAAGAGAAGAAACTGGCAAAAAGTAAGATTATTTGGATTTGAAAAATTTTCAGTTTTTTAATACTGACTATTTTTAAATTTTAGGTGCTGATGCTCTTGACATGGGCCCGAAATCGTTAACAAATGAAGTCACATGTCCAAGATCATGTTCGATAGATAGTTTAAGAACACCTGGACATAGTCGATCGGTTTCACATGATTCATACTTTGACATTTTACAGTCACCATTAAGAGGAATCACTGCATGTCCTTCCCGGGAACTTTCTGAATTAGTATTAAACTTTGATCGAGAGGAACCAGAAATGAGAATTTTCAGTGAAAGTGAGAGCCTCGTAAGTAGTCCAAAAGTAGTCAAAGATTCAGTTCCAAGAAGAATTTTACGTGCTCGTCCAGAAGAGTATTCAAGTGGCGGTAACAGCATCAATCCAAGTCCAAAGAAGCAACCACGATTGAATCTCTCATCTCCAAATGAGTTAAAGACATGGGCTACAATCATAAGTGAAGTATCAAGTGAAGGTTTAAAGGAAAAAGCTGATTATGAGTCAACAAGCTGCAAAAGGTATAAATTTGAAGATCAGTTGTCAGACTTACAGTTTATTGACTGTAATACACCAGAACATTTGGTGACAACAGTAAGTGGAAATACTGGATATACGATTTATACATCAATTCAAATTCACAGTCCACCATCATTGTATGACAATAAGGAGCAGCATAAAACCATTATTGACACAAATAGTTCAACTCCTTTAAGATCTGAAAGTGAACGTTATAGTTATCCAGTAACACAATATACAACATTTGCTGCCACAAAGAAGGAAGATCGTTTCAGTTATCCAATTGCAATTAATGCATCATCTCCAAAGCAAGAAAAGGAAATAATTAAAGGAAGTAATGAAAATGTTTATCAAATGAACATTAGTGAAAGTCCTCCAGTATCCAACAAGAAATCAAATACAATTGACGTGTCTTCAAGTCCAAGCAAAATGGTTGTGAAAGATGTTCAGAGGAGTAACTCGGAAGTCTTTAATAAAAAGAATGAAATGAATAGATCAAAATTGAGTGTGGCAACACCACAATCACCTGTAAAATCGCCATGTTATTCTCTTTTAATCGGATCAACTGCAAGTTCCGCTAGTTCATCACCTGTAAATACTCCAATAAATTATGACATGGACATTTGTAATGTATATGAGCCGATAAGCTTCACTAATGCCAAAGATAATAAAGACAATGTTGTAAGTGTGATGCAGACGAGTCAGGAAAGAAGAGATAGCAAAAAAGGATTATCTTTGGACTTGATGCGTAATACAAGCAAAATTAATGTCCTATCATCGCCAAACACACCACAGATTCTTACAGCAAACTCAGACCGAACAACAACGACAGAAACTGCTGAAACAACTAGTCAATCCATAACTCCAAGTGAAATTCATTATGAAAATTTATCTTTCAATCGTCAGTCTATGACACCGGAAATATCACCGCGCGTTGATGACATGCATCATAATAGTTTTGTAGTGAAACCGACAATTGTTCATGTTCCATCGCCAACGTTGTCTACCGGAAAGACTTCACCAATTAAATCTACAATTAACATTACATATAATTTGAAATCTCCGTCAAGTGTCAAAAGTGATGGAAGTGAACAAAAGTTTTTTGCTGACGACTTCAAGAAGACTGACTATGAAATTGTATCGAAGGAAGGTCTTTTGGAAACAGCATTTGATGACTCAATGGTGTATGAGCAAGTTAAATTCTATAGAAATGCTGTAGAAGAAGTCAATGATCTTGTGGACGAAAAACCTATTTCATTAAACTCTTATGATAATGAGGAAATCCAGGAAATTCCAAATCTTGATAAAGAAGACGAAGCAGAGGTTGAGGAACATTATGAAATAGTATTTAAGAACGACAAGATGTTACTTTCTGACATTCAAATGAAGGAATCCATTCAATCTCAAAATAATCAAGAAAAAGAAGTTAAAGACCATGAAATTGAGACACAAGACAGTCTAGAATTTGAAGAAAATATTTCATTGTACGAGAATGTTGAAGTTAAAATACCTCCAAAGATATACGAAAATGTGCCACTTCCCCCATCACTTCCCTCCTCACCAGTTCGACAAATGAAGTCAAATTCAGAAAAAGGACAGGACATAACTGATAAGGAGGTGCAGAAGATTTCAACAGAAAGTAAATCATCACCAACAAATTTCAGTAATGTCCGTAAATTGGCAACAAGATTCGAGACGAGTCCAGTTGATGTTCAGCCACCATTTGATTTTCACAGATCTCCATCACATAGATCACGTCCTGATGTTCAGTTGAGAAAAAACAATAGAAATGCTGACATGTACACAATCACGAGAAGTTTGGACGAGAATGCATTCATACGAGAATTTGGCAGTGCACGAAAATTTGAAGAATTTAATAAAAGCATAAATGAAATTGCAGATTTATCAAGTCTTTCCAGTAGCTCATCAGATCGACGCAAATCAACAGATTATTCAAAACCAAAAGTATTAAATCCACCAAAAAAGCTTCCAGGTTTCAGTTCTAATATTTCTGAAGCAATTGAAAATTGTAAAAAGTCAGTCGATTATGCAGATGGAAATGGTCACAAACTGAAACTTAACATTGGTGATTCTGGTGAGCTGATTGAGACTCAAAAAAGTCCAGCAAATGAGCGTCAGCCTCTGCAAACATTCAATGTTCGCATAACACCAACAACCGAAAACCGAATTTCATTGATCCAGACTAATTTTGAAACAGGTCTAGAGAAAAAGACACTCGCTGATGAAGAGAAAAGTACATCAACAACGAGCTTAACAAGCCTTAAAATGCTTAAACTAGATCGAGAACGAATTGAAAAGATAAAGGAGGAACGAAGACATCAGTTGAATGAGAAGTATAGAAGTGATTCCTTCAGAAATCTCAATAATAATGTTAAATTATCAAAGCCAAAATCAAAACAAGAAATAAACATTGATGATGACTTTAATGACGAAATTTGTACGACACATCGATTTAAATCAAAGAGTCGCAATGAACTTGACTATGAGCAGCCAATAAGTCTCATAAATACAACAACTGCATCATCATCAACACAAAATTTAATAACCACATCAAGTAATCGAATTCGAAGAATAAGTGATGAGAAAAATCAAAATGATATCGACTCAGGCATTGATGATCAGGTAGTGCTTAAAAGCAAAGATGCTTCCGAACTCCGAGAAAGCAAATACGAAAATAAAATTAAGCCCAAAATTGAAAAGCGAAGCTTTGAATTAACTCGCGAGCGAAATAACAGCTCTGGAAGTTATAGATACAGTCAAAATTCGAATCAGTAAGTTTTACTTATTATTGAAGCTTATGCTGGATTTTAAAATGTTTAATTACTTCCACAGAAACGATCGTTATTCACCACAAATATCCATAAAAGACGTTGCTGCAATTTTTGAATCGAGAGCATCACAACAAACAAATTAAATCATAAACTTTTGGTTAACAATACTCATTTAGATACACGTGAAGAAATAGTCATAATGTAAGATTCTTACTAAGGCTCCTGTATTTCTTAAATGCTGGAATCTTGGTTCTCATAACTTTTATTTGTAAATAATCTTAAAAATCTCTATCCTGATCTGTCTTATTTTCTGGCTTTAATTAAGTTTAAGATTTCATTGCACAATTGAGTTTGTATATTTCATTGATAAGCATTATATCTACAAAAATTCTACATGATTTGTAAATTGGGTGGGATATTAATGATTTTGAGGTTATCAAGGGGTGTCAAAATAAGCAAAAAAAAATTTTGAAAATTAAAAATTGAAACTTATCTAGGAACAAAAGTTTTCAAAATTCAAAAAATTACTCTTAATTTAAAGCTTACTTATTTCAAAACTGACCCCCTTAAAGCTTCTGGTAGAATTATTAAAAAATTTATAAGCCAAAAACTTCTTTTCATGGTTAATTGATAAAAAATTACTGATGCTAAGCTAATTCATCAAATATTAAATCATTTGGGTTAAATTACTAAAATAATTCATACAATCTAATTAAAATACTATAGAACTTTCATCATACAAAGTTACTGATGGATAAAAATTATATTAAAAATGTTAAATCTTTGAAAAAAATGCTTATTTATTACATTATAAAAGTTCATTGCAAAAAAAGACTTAAACATTTTTAGTAAAAAGACCAATTGTGAGGTATAAACTTTAATAAATGATGAATGGATATGAAATTAGAGGGACAAAAAGTGTAAGCATGAAAGCAGCCAAAATAAAATTTAGGGAAAGCATGAAAAAAAAATTTTACAACCGTTTTGAGAATGCCAAAATAGAAATATTCAGCTTCTTTTTATTAAATCTTTTTTACATTAAATAATTGATATAGAAGTGCTTCGAAATTTGTATAGAGTCGAGAAGACTCTTGAAAAGTCAGCCACCGTAGGAAGTAAAGACAATAAAGATTAAAATCGTATTAAAATTGAGTAAATTTTCAAGCACATTTTTCGAAGAATTTTTGCATGAACATTTAGGATTTTTTACTTCCAATTTCTACTATATTCAAAGACTAGAATATACAAATTTATAGAATCCAGTGCTTCTCAAACTTTTCCGATTACGAAACATTTAATAACTTCTGTTCTCGAATAGCACACGTCGGTTAATCAATAATAGAAATCCGGTACCAAGAAACAGTCACATCGCCTTGGCACCTGATTTCTGATCGATTATCCGACTTGTTCTATTCGGGGTTGTGTTGCTATACTGTATGTAATACAACTGAAGATACTAGTGTGTCAAGAAACATAGTTTGGTGGCACTGAAATAGAAGATGAGGATTTGGGCTTATGGAAATTTTTTGGATAGACATTTAAGGTTTGTCTTAAGATCAGATTTAAGATATACTTGAGTATCTCAGTAAAGAACTCTGATTTAAGAAGATAGTAAGTTTCAAAAGGAAACCAGGCTGTTTTAACATAAGAAGATGATTTCATGAATTAAAATCAAATGCCTGATTAGTTCGCTGTTTGACAGGAGCGTAGCATGGAAGTAGTTACCTCGATGTTTGGATACTCAACAAAATCTAATCTCACGAAATTTAATTGCTAGACATCAAAAATTAACAAAAATCTAAGTCAAAATTGCAAGAAAGAAATCTCAATTTTTTCATAAGTCCCACTCATTTATAATGACATAAATTTCATATAAAGTAGCTAATATTTCTCTTCAAATTCAAACTATTTCAAATTCAATTCAAATCATTGAAAATTTTTATAATCAAAAAAACATAGAAAATCTCAATCCCGTACTCATATAATCACAAACAAAACCTTTATAAACATTATAAGATATCTTGTTTAAAATGATATTAAATTGACTTTTAAGTTGCAATGATTTAACAACAAAGTAGTAACAATTTTTTATGCTGAGGTGAAAAAAAATGCTTTTTGCAAAAACTTTACAAATTTATTGAGCATTAAGGATAATTAAATTTGTATTAAAATAAAAGAATAAAAAATTAATTTAATTAATAGCGTGAATGATGTTGCTGTAAAATGCTGAAAAATACGTAAAGTGTTATTAATTTTTTTTATTGTATTTTACTTTTACATGATTTTCATATTAAATAACGATGATACAAAGTGAAAAAGAAGAATCTGTCTGGATGATTAAGTTTTTTTTCATGAATTTAATTAAATAATTATTAATTATTGTTTTTATATTAATATTTTTTACTCCTCTATGAGTCTATTTATTGTAGATATTGATATTGATGATGAACATACACATACACACACACGTCTATATGAAAAATTAATCTTGTGAAAGAAATAAATCAATACTTTAAATGAAGAATTTTTTTGGTGTTTCCTTTTTTTGTAGATTTTTCCAGGTTTTTTAAATGAATCCAAAGACAATTGTCAATCATTTAAATTTGTCAATAGTCATTGAACCTGTGTCAATTAAGGTAATTCTTTTGTTTCGGGAAATTAAATTGAACAAAACATTTTTAACCTTATCCTATGACGTGATTCATTATAGAATTCATGAAATATCGGGTCAACATAAATTCTTAGGACACTGGGTTTGAGTTCTGCTCGGGATCCGTCATTCGGTGTAATTTTTTCGTCTACAGATTTGTTTGTGATCCAGTTATCTGCTTGTTTCTGGATGTTTCAATAGAAATTCTCTAAAATTCACTCATTTGAGCTTCTTAACACTCTGCAACATTCCACTGTATCAAGATTCCCTAAATGAATCCACAAAATACATAACTTATTTGCTAATGAGCATTACACCCTTTATCTCCATCAATCACTCATTGCTGAACATTTTTGAGGACTTTCTCACAAAACATTTTGTTATGCACAGACATGTTAGCGCCGATTTTATTTTGTCAACACTTTCAGCCACTGCGTCATTTAATAAATATTTCATTTGAAACATAATGAGGCACTTGAGTTGTGTTTACTGTCTTAAAAAATAACAACAATCGGTTTATCATCTTAATCTCTTTGTAATATCAAATGTCACTTACTGCCTTGCATTTTGCATCATGTAAACCTCAGAAAGTCACGTGCCTTGCATTCTCAAATTATTTACTGTGCAAATCTGTGCCTTAAAAAATGTGGAAGGAAGTTTGTGTGCCATTAAAACAATTAGGATAACGCACATCACACAAATCCCTTTAAATTGTGCATGAAATGAAGGAATGAAGAAGTAACATGAAACTTCCTAATTACTTCCAAAATACAAGCAAATGCTGCAGAGCATTTATCTATGTAGGCAGACATTAATGATGTGAATTTATCGATTAAAATATTTATTAATTAAGTTATGAAAATAAAAAATTAATTTAAAGGAATTGGAACTAAAATATTTCAATTTATTATCATCAGCATCAATGGCTGTAAACGACGATAATAATAATTATGTGAGCAATAATTGACTTAATTACAAAGCGCTATCATCATTGAGACAATTATTGATGATTTCATAAAGCGATGCCACAACGAGCATTTCAATGTATTAGTGACATTGGGGTGGTTCCATTTATATCCTTGAATTCTGATTGGTTGATTGCTTTACTATGGATTTGATTCCATCCTTTACACATTATTTCCCCTCCAAAACAGCGTGCTGTGATACAGAAAGTGATGATAAGATAATGTCAGAAAGTTCTTCTCATTCTCCTCGCTTGCCTGCCTTCCTGACTTGTTTCAGAGCGATTTAAATTATGTCAAGCATTGCCACATCCACACATAAAAGCTTCAGAAGTGAGGAAGGAAAAGAAAATTAATTTTCCATAATTTTTCCATTTTCTCGTTTTTCTATCATAAATCAGCACTGCTGTATAAATAAAATAGGTGCTTTAGCTTTTTGTGCTATTTGAAATGACAATTATGAAATTTCTACAAATTCTCTGGAGATGCTTCGAAATAATTGTTGTGCTGTAACTTTAGAATTATGTTAAGCATGCCAAATAATTAGCTTTTATCACGAAACGTCTAAATATGAGTATCTTCTTTCAACACTTGTAGTTCTATTCACTTTAACATTCACCGACTTCCTCTCATGCTGAGTATGATGCACACTTTAAAAATAATTCACACAACACTATAAAGCCGAAATAAAAAAGTTTGAAGGATGAAAAGGGTAATTTGATGAAAATCGGATGTAATTGAATTATCAAAAAAGTTATGCCGATGAATTTGGAACTGACTTGCAACTTGCCGACATGCGATTGGGATGAAATTTCACAATTGATTGTTTGTTATTCAATAAACCACCATAAATGAAGTATTTTTCTTATGCTGCTTTCGGTAATTTGTGCCTTTTCATATATTTTTATGTAACAAAATTGATGACACGTGTCGGTTACAAAAAGAGAAAAGAGAGGAGGTAGGTACGGCAAGGAGGAGTTCAAGTTAATTATTTTCATATAAAATTCATCGACGGAAATGGAAATAAAGGAACTATTCATCCTGTTTTGCCTGCACAGATTAATACAAAATATTTGCAATGAATTCATAAACAATTAAGGATCGAAATGGACATGGACAGAAAGGGGTGATAGTTGAAGAGGTTGTTGACATTAATGGAATTAATTTTATGGAACATTGAAATAGTTTGTCATTATGATGCTATTATTAAGGTGTCCTGCTTGATCTTGATTAAATAAACAATTGCTGGATATATAGACATAGACACAACAACATGTCTCAATGGAAACAATGTAATTACTGGGATGTTATTGAAAGGGATTGAAATAATTGCAATGAGAAAATTTAATTTTAAAAAAGATCCAGTCAGTCAGTTCCTTTGTAATTTTCCTAATATTAAATAAAATTCGCGATGTGATTTTAGTGATAAAAGAAGGAACTAAGGAATTAGGAAGATAAAAGCAACACCGTTTGACTTCCCACTTTTCATTTCATTTCATTCACATGTGATCAATGGATGTAGATTTGAAAATAGTAAAATAATAATAACAGCAGGACCTGCACGCTCATTTTGATTCAATTATGGGGTGAAGTATTTTTTGTAATTTGTAATGAGATTTTATCGAGTCAATAATAACATTAATTTGACAACATTTTACTTCTTTTATGATTATGACATGACTGTAAAGTGGTGGGTGTGATTGGAACTGATTTTTTGGAAATTATATGCAACTTAAGTGCTGAATTGATCAATGATTATTTTTGCATTAACTGATTTTAAATAACGTTAAACTAGAAATTAAAAATATATGGCTGAGAATCAGTTTAGTAATGGACAATATAATAACTAGTTTTAGTGATTAATTAAGACAAGAGAAACATCTGGAAATGGTTGAATTAAAGCAATTGAATCTTTATTAAAAATTTGAGGATTTTCAAAGTTAAACCCGTCTTAGAGTTTATAATTGTCAAAACTTAATTCATTAACAAAGAAAAGATAATTCCAGTATTACAAAAATGGGGGTTTCTTACTTGTGAAGTCCATCATTTAAGGGGAGGGTTGATATGAGATTTTGTAGTATCACATTTCAAATAAAAGACCGAAAAAAAGATAAGTCGTGACATTTTTCCAGAGAAATGAATAATGACAAGTTTTTCTAAATTGTTCTAAAAGAAGGTCGAGAAATTCAAGGTTTTAAATAATTTATCAGGTTTAAAATTTTCGCGAACCAAACTTATTTAAAAGACACTGAATTTTAAAATTTTGTAGAACAAAGATTAATTCAATTGATCATTGATCAATGCTCAAGTACTTTATTCAAAAAATATTCATGACAAAGATTTTTTTTCTCTCTTACTGCTTAATTTTGAGTATAAAAGAGTAGACAGAGATTTAATTTCAGTTTAGTGCTTGTCGGACCATCCTTCAGAGCTCTTTAACATATCAGTAGTTTCATTTATCACTAAAATGTTTAGAGCTTTGATAATTTTTATCGTTCTTGTCGGAATAAATTGTGCGAAATTTCGTAAGTGATCATCATCGGTGCTTTAATACTTCCTAATTAATCTCTTAATTTCTTATTCTAACAACTGTTTAGCTTCCGACCTTCAAAAATGTAAATACGGTGACATGACATGTGTTATTAAAGTCGCGAATGAGATAATGGCTCGGTCTGCAAATGGTAAGAATTGAACGTTATCATAGAAATTTTGGGGGAAGGGCTTGTTTATAAGTTAGATCCAATTTAAAGCAAGGATTATTTATTTAATACATTAAGTATTATAAACACTTGATTAAGGCCCAAAAGAGTTCAATTATCTTCACTGGCATCACTTCTACAATACTTCCTTCATTCCAGGACTCCCTGAGCTCGGCTTTCCTAGCACTGACCCTCTAGTAATCAACAGAATTGGTCTCAATCAAGACGGAGACAGACCAGTTGTGCTTAATATTGAATTGAGTGATTGTAAAATGTCTGGACTTCCAACAACGAATTTTACAACAATTCAAGGTTTTAGTGATAACATCGACAAGGCTAAAATACTCTTAAAGTATAAACAAGACCATATTCAGTTATTCGGACCATACAAAGCAAAAGGGAAAATATTGGTGCTTCCGATGAACGGTATGTAAATTATTTTTGGAAGTCCTTGACTGTACATACGCTAATTGATGATTACATTTTTGTTTTTAAGGTGATGGAGAGGCCAACATAACATTCAGTAAGACTTTTTATGACTCATTACTGGAATATTGATTTAATTTTTTTTCTGTGCTTAATAAATAGCTGGAGTTGATGGCATTGTTAAAATGTTGACAAAGAAGATTCTTAAGAATGGAAAAAATTACATGCAGATCGATAAGCTGCGAATGAACTTTGATGTTAAACGGTTTGTATTGTTTCTTAATTAAGCTTAAGATTGGTCTTTTGATTCTTTTTTGGATGTAATTTTTGAAGTGTTCAAAGATGCATTTGAAAGTTGGGGTCGGTCATAAGTGATTGATGTGCTCAGAAGATTAAGAAATTTGTATTGAAAAATCTAGAAGAAAAGGCACAAAACTACTAGAATGACAAACAAGAGAAAGAAGAATATCTTTTAATAAAGAATGCCGAACTGGACTCGAACCTACGTCCTAGCCATGGAAGGTTTATCCACTTTATGAATAAATCCCAAATATAAAGTAGACAATTTTCTATTTTCCCTGCAATAACAAGACTTATCGTTGACTGGCTATTACATGAAATCACTTATTCCGAAAACTTTATTAAATATTCTGTCAATAATCAAGGACTATCTCATAATTTCAGGGCATCATTCAACTTCACAAATCTCTTCAACGGAAATGTTCAACTTGGCGATGCACTCAATAAATTCATAAACGAGAACTGGAAAGATATTTTGAATGATTTAAAGCCAGCAATGGCAGATTCATTAGGATCTATTTATAAGTCACTTTTAGACAATATGTTTAGTAATATTCCATATGATGAATTCTTTGAGAAATAAAGTAGCTTCTAAACAGTATTGAATTACAAAAGTAAGGATATAAATGTAAACAAGAGCAATAAGAATAATAAACTTTTAAGGACAATCTACTTAACAAAAAAAATATGTCATCCTTAACAGGCAAAAGGAAGAAGAATCAAAAGTTGAATGTTCCATTGACGAGTACTTACCACTCAACATCATCGTCGCTTTTATCTCTTACCACTCTTCAAATACGCCATTCACATCTCCTTTTCCACATAATTGAATCTTCATCAACTTTCAATTCATCAATCACGTTCATATTTTCCAATTTTCATGTCGTTTTTATATTGATTGAAAGACTTTTATTTGATTCATGATGAGATTATCGATGAATATGTGTAGATGATGAAAAGTCTATTCTTATTTTTCCGAGAAACATTTTTTTATGGGCGTTTTTCCTACTCTCGACTTTTCTTTTTTTGCTTGTGTATGTGCATGTGGGGGAAAGGGAAAGCTTTGTGAAAATTCAAGATGGCAACGGCAAGATGATGTTATGAATTTTTTTTTCTTGTTCATTTGTGTTTTATTTTGGATGATTGTGAAGATGGAATGGGAGATAATTTAGATTCTATACTGTATTGTTAAGAATGATTTTAAGTTTATGAGCAGTACAACTCAATTTATACTCAATGATAAACTATTAGGTACCACGGCATCTCCAAGGCGTGGAAACTATCCCAATTCTCATATTTATCCCACATATCCCAAAAATATTCAAAAAATTTCTCAGCATGTATGCACGATAATAAAGATATCCCAACGTATCCTTAGTGTATTGGACGTGTAATTTCAGGATATGATGGGATATCTCAATTCTAATGCATACAGGCTCAGGAAGGGGCGTAGCCAGGGGGGGGGGCATAGGGGGCCCTGCCCCCCTACGAAAATCTGATAATTGTTTTATTAAGTATTTATAGAGAAGAACCAGTTGATGTAGAGGAAGTGATAAAAAAATGTCAAAATCAGCACGAAAAATTAAATTTAATGTGTGAATAATGAATTAAATATTTAAACTTATGAAGAATGAATATAGATTTAAGGATACAAAATAACGGTTTTTTAATTTTCGAAAATGGGCCCTCCCCCTCAAAAATTTTCTAGCTACGCCCCTGGGCTCAGGGATTATTTTGGATATTTTTAGGATATATGGGATATATTGGATATTTGGGATAGTTTCCACGCCTTGGACATCTCTGAAATATTGAAGTGTGTCCAGAGTTGCGTTCTTTCACAGGCAATCACCTGTCACTTACCTGTTTACAGGCAGCGCTTGTGACAGGAAATATTTTTTTTGCCTGACACAGGCACAGATCTATTACAGATCTGTCAAATCTGCCCAAAGAAATAACAAAAAAAAATATTGCTAGTCATAGGCACTTCCTGTTAATAGACAATATCTGTGACAGATCTGTCACCTTTGCCTGTGACAGGCGACCAGTATCGTAACTCTGAGTGTGATGCAAACAAACCAAATTTATACCAAATAAGTATAGTTTAGATGTCAAGAACTGATCTTCAATCGCAGTGCAGCTTTTGTTTTAAGCTTTAAAGTTCTTTTAAGTTTCTAATAGTTGTTCGGATCTGTTTGGTTCTATAAAATCAATTTAGTTCCTACATTATAAGTTAATTCTAATTCTTCCAATTGGTTTAAGTAAAATCAAAGTTCGATGACTCACGGCTCAAAAACAATAAGCATAATTCCTCTTAAAACTCATTTTTATGTCTCTAACGCTTTATTTTCGATTTTTCAAAATTAATCTAAATATGACTTAATGGAAGTATATTTTTTATATCCATTTCTATCTTGACAAAAAAAAACTATGTTAAAATAATTCAATTTTTTCATGTCATCATTCACAATAATGTTGTATGCTACACAATATGTACAAATAATGTTCTTTTAAATTAAATTTCAACACAACATATCATCACCCATAATGTCCACATCACTCTCATCGCCATCCGAGTCATCACTAATGGAGTCCTTTTCACTACCACTACTGGAATTTTTCATTAAAATTGAATTTGTTGTGTAATTTTGAAGAATGCAATTTAGACTTGATTTTGATGTCGGTGTTGTTCCATTTGTGTTTGTCTTGTATGATGTAAATGATGATTTTCCATTTGATGTTTGATTTAATCGTTGGGAATTGGTTGTTGTAGTAACGTCGTTTCTTGATGAATCTGAGTCTGTTGTGATGAACAAAAATGGAATTTAATTAAATTTTACAAAAGAAAAAGGAAAAAAAATTCTTTAAGAAAATTGTCTTTGAAGAAAATTCAATTACCTTGAACATTTGAGTTATTGGCATTGGTTGCAGCATCTTTTCGTCTCAGTTGCTTCTTGAATTTCATTCGTCTGTTTTGAAACCATGTTTTTACTATGGAGATTATTGTATTGTTATCAGATTTATTGATTTTATTGGAGATGAAGTTGTCAATTACCTTGTGTCTCTGATAATCCTAAAGCTGACGCTAATTCAACTCTTTCAGGTGTGGATAGGTATCTGATGGATGCAGATAAAGGTTAATTAGATGTTAAATGTCTTATTTTACTTTTAAGTCATAACTGGTCAACTCACCTCTGAGCCTCAAATCTCTTCTCTAATCCCGTAAGCTGAGGATCACTAAACACAGTCCGAGCCTTTCTCCTTCGACAATGTCTCAATGCACTCATTCCCATTCCAATACCCAATATTTCAGGCATGTGACATCCATTACCACCTGGAAAATTCGAAAAGAGTCCTGTAAAAAATTTCATCGGAAAGGAAAAGTTTCTTAATTAAATTAATTCATGTGTAAAAAATATCATTAACAGCTTCGTACCTTGTGATAAAAAGTATGGATCAACATGTATGGATTTATAGCCAGTTGCTGATGGTTGGAGATATGCACCAAGCATTTGAAGGTAATTTTGATGATGTTCATTGTATGGCGACGGTGTTGTGTACATAATTGGTGCATTACCTGCTGATGACATTGTCATTTGTTGTCCAGGCGGTGGATGTGAAAGATTTGGAAGTGATGAAGGTATTTGGAGCTTGTCGAGTTGCTTTAGTTGTCTGAGAATGAAAATAATAATTTAAATAATCAGATTGGATGAAAAGTTGAGGAATTATCAATGTTATTTGAGGTTAAGCTTCGCATTGGCTGTTAAGCTGTTCCTTAATTAATAATTTTAAAACAGATCATCAACTTTCTTTAAATATAAACTTAATTTATTAAACTTTTATTGTGTAGTTCATTTGTAGGACTGGTCAAGACATGAACCTTAAATTTGAAAACTGTCACATGTTCATAAACTGATCCAGGTTTTAACAATATTTCAGGAAACTTCTTCTGATGATTTACTGCATTAGGAAAGTTGTGGCATGAAATTGCAAATCCACAGCTTTGAAAGTATTTGGTTCCGTCTTTTCCTATCAATTCTTTATCAGCTTCTTTACTGACTTCTATTGCTGGACATTCATCAAGAATTGGAATCTGTTGAGGCTTGACATCAACAGTTTCTGGTTCTATTCGACATTTGAAAAATTCAATCTCCTTTTCTGTCAGCTTTGTCCTTAGATATTCTAATGTAAGATTTTCTGTGCTGGATTTTTTATCAGCTTCAACATTTTCATCACTTTTTGATTCACGAGCAGGAAATTCGGGACATAAAGATAAGTAAAGTGCTGCTTGGTTCGTAAAAACTTCAATAATTCGTCCACTTGAGGGATGAATGACTTGCATAACCATTGGCATGACGTCAACAAGTTCTTCTCTTTCAATATCGATTAAATAATCAAGAGGCTTGCTTCCAATGTCAATTAAATGTCTAACTTCTGTCAAGTTCCTTAAATCAGTCTCAATTTTCTCAAAAGATTTCCTAAAACATCCTTCATCGTCCTTTCTTCTGAATTTTGAGGAATTAATGCTTATCAAATGATTTTTAAGCTCATCTTCGCCTCCATCATGCGACGCAAGATTAAAATAAAGCTGATGACTTAAATCAATTGGTGTAACTTTATTGGATCTTGCTGTTATTTTGATAGTCAAATGATTTTTGGACGAAACAGTAAAAATAATTTGAATTAAGATTATCGCTGGAAATCCATCGGTTCCATCAGTTGTGTGGCTCATAATTACATCATTTCCATCAATATGAGGCATCCAATTGACTCTTTGTAATCCATTATTGCCACTATTCATGCAGTGCTTGTTTTTGTAGTTTCTTGGAACTTTTTGATACCGTCCACTAATGCAATACTCAGCATTTTTAATAATTCCAGCCACAGGTCCGATTAATGCACCAAAATTATATTTGCCATCTTTGGCACAGTCTTCAAAGTTATCATATCCTAATAATATATCTTTGCAGACTCCATTTCTGTTCGGCAACTTTATATTCAGAAGTCTAGCACCAAACGTGATTAAAGTCACTTCCATTCGATTTTTTGTAGTCCACGTAAACTTTTCGACATTTTCACAATTTCCTGTTTTTGGATTTTTCCATTTTGCGAAATTCTCACGACACAAAATCACGTCTTGTTCTGTACTGCTTAACTCCATAATTTTAAACCGGATATTTTTTTTTTGGTTTTTATCTTGTTGAAGTTTATATCAAAATTGAGGAAAAGGTTGCTTTGATTGATTTATTAATGGATAATAAAATGATTCACAAAGTTCAAATTATAATGGGCGAATCCATGCCTTTAAATTTCATATTTCTTTTTTCAACATTCAAATCAAAGGGTCAGATATAATCAAGACACAGCCTTCCACTCTATCACAAAATTATTTTAAACTTAGTTCCTTTATCAGAAACACTTCCATATCTTTCAAAATCACTTATTAAGCTGCATCGATTGCTCAAAATCTTCAACTTATTTCAAATCCATAAAAAACTAGTGTATCGGGTAGAAACCCAATGCGGATATATTCACACCGTACCATCAAAAGCCTTATGGATAGACCAAGATTTGCTCAGCATAAGTTTGAAGGGTGAGCGTAAAGTAAGGCCGAGACCCATATCGACACAGTTCAAAAGATATACCTAATTTATGTCATAATTATGTCAGCTACAAAAACACTTAGTTTGAATTTTGTCACCCTCGGGAACACTATGAACCAGTATAGCTGATTTTGGTCCAAATCTCGGCCATACTTCACACTTATTTGAACCACATTTTCTCGTAAATGTTAAAATATTATTAAAAAGGATTTAATCCTGAATTATGTCGCTATTTTGTCAAGTGTTTTAAGATAAAGAATTTGTTTTTTGGTTTCCACAGTGAAGAGTATGAACAAAATTCAGATGGGGTAGTCGAAATTTTAGATTTCGATTTTTTTAAGCTATGCATTACAAAAAGTTATATTGGTATGTGATTTATGTCAGAATTATGTCAATTCAAATAAAACATCCAAAAAATTTTTTTGAGCAAAGAACCAAGTAGGAAATACAATTTCAATTTTGGACTAAGGGCGACCCTAGTCAAAATCAATTTTTTCACTTTTTTCTTCGAGGATAAACCCAAATACAGTAAAACTTTGTATGAGCATTTTAATCTTCAGGTCACACATTTCTGAATTAATAAAAATCATTTTTTTGAACAAAATTTTAAGTCACGTTGTTTTTATATGTAGAACAAAATTTATAAAATTTGGGTCTGACGACATATAGAATACATTTCTTGCTTTAGATATTTAAAACTGTTTTGTATAAATATTAGTATACTCACACAAAGTTTCACTGTAATTGGATAAACCTTCGAAGAAAAAAAGTGAAAAACTAGATTTTAACTAGACCTGTCCCAAGTTCATAATTAAAAATGTATTTCCTACTTGGTTCTATGCTCAAAAAAATTTTAGGATGTTTTATTTGTATTTGTTTAAGCACTAGAATATTTATGCAAAGTTTCAATCCAGTTGGATAAACACTCGAAGAAAAAAGTGACAAAATTTATTTTGACTAGGGTCGCCCCTAGTCCAAAATTGAAAATGTATTTCCTTCTTAGTTCTTTGCTCAAAAAAATTTGGAATGTTTTATTTGTATTTGTTTTAAGCACTAAAATATTTATGCAAAGTTTCAATCCAGTTGGATAAACCTTCGAAGAAAAAAGTGACAAAATTGATTTTGACTAGGGTCGCCCCTAGTCCAAAATTGAAAATGTATTTCCTTCTTAGTTCTTTGCTCAAAAAAATTTGGAATGTTTTATTTGTAGTTGTTTTAAGCACTAAAATATTTGTGCAAAGTTTTAATCCATTTGGATAAACCTTCGAAGAAAAAAGTGACAAAATTGATTTTGACTAGGGTCGCCCCTAGTCCAAAATTAAAAATGTATTTTTTTCTTGGTTCTTTGCTCAAAAAAATTTTGGAATGTTTTATTTGTAGTTATTTTAAGCACTAGAATATTTGTGCAAAGTTTTAATCCATTTGGATAAACCCTCGAAGAAAAAAGTGACAAAATTGATTTTGACTAGGGTCGCCCCTAGTCCAAAATTGAAAATGTATTTCCTTCTTAGTTCTTTGCTCAAAAAAATTTTGGAATGTTTTATTTGTATTTGCGTTAAGCACTAAAATATTTATGCAAAGTTTCAATCCAGTTGGATAAACCTTCGAAGCAAAAAGTGACAAAATTGATTTTGACTAGGGTCGCCCCTAGTCCAAAATTGAAAATGTATTTCCTATTTTGCTCTTTGCTCAAAAAAATTTTGGAATGTTTAATTTGTATTTGTTTTAAGCACTAAAATATTTATGCAAAGTTTCAATCCAGTTGGATAAACCCCCGAAGAAAAAAGTGACAAAATTGATTTTGACTAGGGTCGCCCCTTGTCCAAAATTAAAAATGTATTTTTTTCTTGGTTCTTTGCTCAAAAAAATTTTAAAATGTTTTATTTGTATTTGTTTAAGCACTAGAATATTTATGCAAAGTTTCAATCCAGTTGGATAAACCCTCGAAGAAAAAGTGACAAAATTGATTTTGACTAGGGTCGCCCCTAGTCCAAAATTGAAAATGTATTTCCTTCTTAGTTCTTTGCTCAAAAAAATTTTGGAATGTTTTATTTGTATTTGTTTTAAGCACTAAAATATTTATGCAAAGTTTCAATCCAGTTGGATAAACCTTCGAAGAAAAAAGTGACAAAATTGATTTTGACTAGGGTCGCCCCTAGTCCAAAATTGAAAATGTATTTCCTATTTTGCTCTTTGCTCAAAAAAATTTTAGGATGTTTTATTTGTATTTGTTTTAAGCACTAGAATATTTATGCAAAGTTTCAATCTATTTGGATAGACCCTCGAAGAAAAAAGTGACAAAATTGATTTTGACTAGGTTCGCCCCTAGTCCAAAATTGAAAATGTATTTCCTACTTGGTTCTTTGCTCAAAAAAATTTTAAGGATGTTTTATTTGTATTTGTTTTAAGCACTAGAATATTTATGCAAAGTTTCAATCCATTTGGATAAACCCTCGAAGAAAAAAGTGACAAAATTGATTTTGACTAGGGTCGCCCCTAGTCCAAAATTGAAAATGTATTTCCTATTTTGCTCTTTGCTCAAAAAAAATTTAAGGTGTTTTATTTGTATTTGTTTTAAGCACTAGAATATTTATGCAAAGTTTCAATCCATTTGGATAAACCCTCGAAGAAAAAAGTGACAAAATTGATTTTGACTAGGGTCGCCCCTAGTCCAAAATTGAAAATGTATTTCCTACTTGGTTCTTTGCTCAAAAAAATTTTAAGGATGTTTTATTTGTATTTGTTTTAAGCACTAGAATATTTATGCAAAGTTTCAATCCATTTGGATAAACCCTCGAAGAAAAAAGTGACAAAATTGTTTTTGACTAGGGTCGCCCCTAGTCCAAAATTGAAAATGTATTTCCTTCTTGGTTCTTTGCTCAAAAAATTTTGGAATGTTTCATTTGTATTTGTTTTAAGCACTAGAATATTTATGCAAAGTTTCAATCCATTTGGATAAACCCCCGAAGAAAAAAGTGACAAAATTGATTTTGACTAGGGTCGCCCCTAGTCCAAAATTGAAAATGTATTTCCTTCTTGGTTCTTTGCTCAAAAAATTTTGGAATGTTTCATTTGTATTTGTTTTAAGCACTAGAATATTTATGCAAAGTTTCAATCCATTTGGATAAACCCTCGAAGAAAAAAGTGACAAAATTGATTTTGACTAGGGTCGCCCCTTGTCCAAAATTAAAAATGTATTTTTTTCTTGGTTCTTTGCTCAAAAAAATTTTAAAATGTTTTATTTGTATTTGTTTAAGCACTAGAATATTTATGCAAAGTTTCAATCCAGTTGGATAAACCCTCGAAGAAAAAGTGACAAAATTGATTTTGACTAGGGTCGCCCCTAGTCCAAAATTGAAAATGTATTTCCTTCTTAGTTCTTTGCTCAAAAAAATTTTGGAATGTTTTATTTGTATTTGTTTTAAGCACTAAAATATTTATGCAAAGTTTCAATCCAGTTGGATAAACCTTCGAAGAAAAAAGTGACAAAATTGATTTTGACTAGGGTCGCCCCTAGTCCAAAATTAAAAATGTATTTTTTTCTTGGTTCTTTGCTCAAAAAAATTTTTTTCATCCAAAGTTTAATTTAAAATAAAATCACAGTGAACTTTTAATTTGAAAAATTCGTAAGAAAGGAAAGTTTTTTGCTTTTTCTGAAGCAACGGCTGTTCCTCCCTTGCCTAAAAACAATACAGCTTTTCTATAGAGCAGCACGGATCAAATGTAAAAAACTAGAAGTCTCTACGATGTCTCGTTATTGAGATTTCTTGCTGATTAACTTGCTTGCTTGCTTGCTTGTTTGCTTACAGAAAGCGTATTTTGCGATTTTCTCAGCAATGCCACAACCATTTTGAAATCTGTTTTTTGAAAATGATGTAAAATTTCAGGTACAAACTTTTCTTCTTGCCCTTTTATGACCAATTTTGCTTTGTTTTCTCACGAAATGCGAAAAACTGATTTTTCAATCTGAACAAAACCAATAGATTCACACGTGAAAACGGTGTGAATATAAAAAATCAATTCAACAATCCAAAAGAACAGCACTAAGGATGTAATATTCTGTAGATTCTCACCTTTCACTTCCATTCATTTTCTTAAATTCCTCACTTTCGCCAATTTTCATTCCATTTTTTGTTTGACTTGCAATATTTTTATTATCAAACTGATGATTCTTATTAATGCTTTGTGGATTATTATTGTTACTTAAGTATAAAATATCTTCAATTCCAAAAGGAGTTTTCGCAATTGTCGTACCCGACGCTACATTACTATAACTTGATGATTTTTCTACTAATTGAACAGACATTTTCACAACTTAATTTTAATTGGCAATTTATGCTGCTTCCTTCTTGTTCCTTTATTCCTTATTATGTTTTTAATTTTTATTTTTTAAACTTAACAGTTCAACATCCGCAAATGGACTGATAAAATTCATCAGCGCTAAATCGTTTTTCTATTTTTTGCTTGCCATCACATCAGTCAGTCCTTGTCGTCGTTGAATTCTGTGTGTTGATGGGATGTTGTTGAAGGGATAATGGGAAAATGTGTATGCATGAACAAATACATCATGCGCGAATCAAGGCACACAAATACAATCACAATATTATTTTTCTTCCTTTATAATTAACTCAACAAGCAAACTGATTCCTATTTTATTTATACAGCAGTGCTGATTTATGATAGAAAAACGAGAAAATGGAAAAATTATGGAAAATTAATTTTCTTTTCCTTTCTCACTTCTGAAGCTTTTATGTGTGGATGTGGCAATGCTTGACATAATTTAAATCGCTCTGAAACAAGTCAGCAAGGCAGGCAAGCGAGGAGAATGAGCAAAACTTTCTGACATTATCTTATCATCACTTTCTGGAGGTTGTTCTGTAGGGGAAATAATGTGTAAAGGATGGAATCAAATCCATAGTAAAGGAATCAACCAATCAGAATTCAAGGATGTAAATGGAACCACCCCAAAGTCACCAATACATTGAAATGCTCGTTGTGGCATCGCTTTATGAAATCATCAATAATTGTCTCAATGATGATAGCGCTTTGTAATTAAGTCAATTATTCCTCACATAATTATTATTATCGTCGTTTACAGCCATTGATGCTGATGATAATAAATTGAAATATTTTAGTTCCAATTCCTTTAAATTAATTTTTTATTTTCATAACTCAATTAATAAATATTTTAATCGATAAATTCACATCATTAATGTCTGCCTACATAGATAAATGCTCTGTGATGTGCGTTATCCTAATTGTTTTAATGGCACACAAACTTCCTTCCACATTTTTTAAGGCACAGATTTGCACAGTAAATAATTTGAGAATGCAAGGCACATGACTTTCTGAGGTTTACATGATGCCAAATGCAAGGCAGTAAGTGACATTTGATATTACAAAGAGATTAAGATGATAAACCGATTGTTGTTATTTTTTAAGACAGTAAACACAACTCAAGTGCCTCATTATGTTTCAAATGAAATATTTTTTAAATGACGCAGTGGCTGAAAGTGTTGACAAAATAAAATCGGCGCTAATATGTCTGTGCATAACAAAATGTTTTGTGAGAAAGTCCTCGAAAATGTTCAGCAATGAATGAGATGGAGATAAAGGGTGTAATGCTTATTAGGAAATGAGTTATAAGGCCGTTCACTTATTACGTTACGCAAGAAAACGACTTTTTTCACCACCCCCCCTCCCCCCCTTGTTACAATATGTTACAACTCACAACCCCCCCCCCCCTGAACGTTCATAATTTATTTTATTTTTATAATTTTTTATTCTAAAAAGACGGTTAAATTTCTTTTGTATTTTTTTTCTTAAACATCAAAATACTGTCCAGCTAAATAGGTCATGTTTTGATTAATACTATTAGTATTCTCATGAATTATTGGATTGAGAGATAAAGCAAAAATTTGTTTTTTTTTTGAAGAAAATTCAAAAATGTCATGAAAAATATTATGCCCGATCGAATTTTGGAAAATTCAATCAACTTTGAATGTAAATATCACAATGATGGGATCATATTAATCATCATATGAATGACAGATTTAGAGAGATTTACTTTTAAACTTATGATTGATTTAATTTTGAAAATTTCCACAAATTATGATTGTATTTTAAAGTCTTGTAAACCAGTTTTCTATTGATTTGTTACTTTATATAACAAAAACTATGTATTGCTTTTCTATCAAAATTGATCTGGACATTCATAAATCATTAAAAAGGTAGAAAATTTAAAAAAATGTTTTTGGTGTGAATTTGTAAACAAATTTTTTTCGTTACATACTTTATGACACCCCCCCCCCCCCCTATCCCTATGTTACATTTGGTTACAATTTTTCAAACCCCCCTCCCCCCTAAAATGCGAACGTAATAAGTGAACGGCCCCTATGCATTTAAATGATTCATTAAGAGAATCTTGATGACCATTACTAAACTGATTCTCAGCCATATATTCTTAATTTCTAGTTTAACGCTATTTAAAATCAGTTAATGCAAAAATAATCATTGATCAATTCAGAACTTAAGTTGCATATAATTTCCGAAAAATCAGTTCCAATCACACCCACCACTTTACAGTCATGTCATAATCATAAAAGAAGTAAAATGTTGTCAAATTAATGTTATTATTGACTCGATAAAATCTCATTAGAAATTACAAAAAATACTTCACCCCATAATTGAATCAAAATGAGCGTGCAGGTCCTGCTGTTATTATTATTTTACTATTTTCAGATCTACATCCATTGATCGCATGTGAATGAAATGAAATGAAAAGTGGGAAGTCAAACGGTGTTGCTTTTATCTTTCTAATTCCTTAGTTCCTTCTTTTATCACTAAAATCACATCGCGAATTTTATTTAATATTAGGAAAATTACAAAGGAACTGACTGACTGGATCTTTTTTAAAATTAAATTTTCTCATTGCAATTATTTCAATCCCTTCCAATAACATCCCAGTAATTACATTGTTTCCATTGAGACGAGCCTATGATTATTATTGTTGTTGTGTCTATGTCTATATATCCAGCAATTGTTTATTTAATCAAGATCAAGTAAGACACCTTAATAATAGCATCATAATGACAAACTATTTCAATATTCCATAGAATTAATTCCATTAATGTCAACAACCTCTTCAACTATCACCCCTTTCTGTCCATGTCCATTTCAGTTCTTAAATGTTTATGAATTCATTGCAAATATTTTGTATTAATCTGTGCAGGCAAAACAGGATGAATAGTTCCTTTATTTCCATTTCCGTCGATGAATTTTATATGAAAATAATTAACTTGAACTCCTCCTTGCCATGCCTACCTCATCTCCTCTCTTTTTGTAACCGACACGTGTCATCAATTTTGTTACATAAAAATATATGAAAAGGCACAAATTACCGAAAGCAGCATAAGAAAAATACTTCATTTATGGTGGTTTATTGAATAACAAACAATCAATTGTGAAATTTCATCCCAATCACATGTCGGCAAGTTGCAAGTCAGTTCCAAATTCATCGGCATAATTTTTTTGATAATTAGATTACATCCGATTTTCATCAAATTACCCTTTTCATCCTTAAAGTTTTTTATTCATAGAGTGATACTGTGTGAATTAATAAAAAGGGACAAATGTGAAGTGCGAAATTTAATTCATTTTTACACGCTTTCATTTAATTCATTAACGTTCATATAAAATTCAAAATTTTGAACTTTGCTTTAACGAATTATAAGATTTTGAAAATTTTGAACTTCGAGTAGAATTTTACATTAATTTCAAATTTAATTTTAACGATTTTCTGGAAAATAATTTTATGAAGCCTTAAAATCAGTAAAACAACAAGCATTTGTCATTGCAATCACATGAATAAATATGTTTATTAATTGATCTTTTAGTATAACATCATAGATGATAATGTATAGGAATGTAAATGTACAAATTTCAATTTACGTTCAGGTTTTCATATCAAAATAGTTGTTTTTTGTGAATTTAAAAAGTAAGTGAAATATTATCGTACATCCGATATCTGTTCTACAGGTTTTCACAACATCTCATAAAAATATATAAATTCATCATAAATCTCAATCTTCTTTTGTTCTATACGTCGATAATTGCAACAATTTCTACTAAATTCATCGTTTCATTATTAAAAGTAGACACAAAAGATCAATAAAATGTTAATTAATTAATTAATTTGTTTTGCTTGTGTTCAGCTTCATCATTAATCTTGCTAATATAATTGATTTAAATTTATAGTGTAAATAAGCACTAATTTATTATTAAATAGGAATAAATGTGTAAAAAATGAGAGATAATCTTTGTTAAAGGAAGAAATACTTTACGAATCATTGTGGTCATGGTGCTATCATAAAATAATCATCACTGCTTATAATGACGTATTTGTCACAGTGCTTAAGCCATGCACGAGAAGGGTTGGAGGTAAATCGTATGTTAATTCACTCAAGAGATCCTGTTGAGACATAAAAGTTGGTAAACTAGCTTTATTCATACGATAATAAGTCACTTACCAAATAATTAACACACTTTGTTCTGAAATTCATCGAGATATTTGGCGGAGGTGGAAGATACATGAATGTTACAGCAGTTGAGTTTGAATGATCACGGATTATTTGATTGATGCTGAAACAAGATTAATTTTGGATATTTAGCGGTTATATTGAATTTAAATTTTTAACTGTCATTTTGAATTTGAAATATTAAAACCATACAACAGAACATTATATGAAAACATTCGTAGTGTTCTAAAGCTAAAACTATTTAAATATTAATCTTACCGTTGCATGTAAAGTTTCATTCTATTGAGATTCTCTTCAGTCATTGGTGACGTGTCATTTTCCGAATTACGTGTCAGGTTCCTTAAAAGTGTACGATTTCTAGGCGTTTCAGAGCTATTTTTCCATTCAGGAATTTGATGAATTGTTGCCGGGATTCTCAATTGTCCAAGTAATTGACTTAATCGAAATTCTGCAGGTCGTTCAAACGGTTGTTGTTCATTATCACCAGTTTCACATAAGAAGACTCTTAATTGTAGATTCTTCCAGACAGGTAGCATGTTAATGATACAAGCAAGTTGCATCATAAATTGTGAAGCCATATCGAATGGATTCTCATTTGATGGATCAAAAATATTAATTGGCCATAAGTCAATATATTTAATATGATTTGATGTGGCAATTGTCTTCTTATTAAGTCTATGGAAATGTCTACACAAACAGACATTCTTCTTCATTCTCAAAATATCGCCGACAATGCTAACATATTCTTCAGGACTGAGTGACTTAATTTCATTCTTCTTACGGAATGGAAATAGAACACCAGTATTGGAACTAGAAAATTTATTAGTCTGATATGGGGAACCGTCATCATCAAAAAAGTCAACGCAAGCTTCTTCATCGTAAAATCCTAAAATTATTGTATTTGGCTTCATTGCAGCCATTCCTGATATTCTCGTCAAGTGCTGAATTCCTTCGCGAACAGTCTTAGACAATGTCAGTTCCACAAATGCCTTAACTTTCATATGATCAATTAATGACAGCCATTGTGAATATTCATCAACTATTGGATCAACTTCATTGTCCTTAAATTCACCAACTTTTACATGACCAACTACATACAAGCCACCCTTCTTCATATCATTAACAAAATGAATTAATGGACAGCATGAGCGTGGTGATGACACAAGAAGAAGCATTTGAGGACGCCAATATTTAACATGATCCTTTCTTGAATCCAACATAAGTAGATATTTGCGTACTTGATGGAACATTAAAGCTTGAGAAATTGAACCCCATTGTGCGCCTTGAGCAGCAGGCGAAAATAAATGTAGAGCAATGACGAGAATCAGACACAAAATTACACTTAATGACGCATAAATTGGATTGATGACAAACATCATTATCAGAGTTCCAACAAGTCCAACGAATGCTGTATGCCATGTGAAATATTTAAATGTTGGTCTAAAGTTAATTGCGCCTGTTATTTCAATTCCCAAACAGGCGAGATTTGTTGCCAAATAGCTCAACATAAACAACACAGAATTAATTTGTGCAATCGTGTTTAAACTTCCGATTAATAGAATCGCTTCTACAAGCACCCAACTTGTAATTACAGCCAATATTGGATTTCCATTATGTGTGCCTTTAACAATAAAATTGAAAAATGATCCGTAAACCTGGTCTTTTGCGAGCGCTTCCAAAACACGTGAACTGCCAATTAAATTGCTTAAGGCTGTCGAAAATGTCGCTGTCAAGATTCCAACCGAAACAAATACTGGAAATATGTTTACGGGTACGAGATAGAGGAAGTTGTTTCTCAATAAAATCGACGGTGACGTTGCAGCAATCAACAATGACAGCGCCATATAACAGAAGAATGTGAATACGACAGCTGAGAGTGTGCCTCTTGGAATCGATTTTGATGGATTTTTTAATTCTCCTGACATGTTTGCGCCTGCAAAAGTCATTGAAAATATTATTAAAATTTTAAATCCAAAGTTTTAACTTTTAATCTCGAGATTAAAAGTTCAGATTAAATAAATCATAGGATTTATTGAGTCTTTACCTGCCATAATTCCAGTTACACCTGAAAACAGCACACCAAAGACAATAGCAAAATTAACATAACTTCCACCTGATGTGTAATCTTGTCCATAACTAGGATACAAATTGTCTTGTAATGTCTTCATAGAAAGTCCAGTATAAACAAGACCATCTGGAAATTCCGTCCGATTTAATAGAGTATTTTCAGGCGGTATTGTCACATTCATTTCTCCTTTTGTGATGAAACTTACGTATGTTGAGAACAGACAGACAACAACAATTCCCAGAATGAATGCTGAAGTTTTGGCAAACATTTGAGCACCAATTAGCACTACGATGAGGATTAATGTGTTGACAATTGTACAATATCCAAATCGATACCAATGACCATCTTCTAGTAAGCCTAGCGAATTCTCTGGAAGTAAAAGTCCATTTTTGCCAAGATTCTGAATTAATCCTTCAACACATCCAGTTATTGCCAAACCAGAGCCAACAACATTTGCTAGGAAGAATAAGCTTCCAATAGCACCACCAAATTCTGGTCCGAGAGTTCTTGATATCATAAAATAAACACCACCGCCTTGAATTGCACCGTTCGTTGAGATAGCACTGTAAATATTGACATATAGTCATAATATATTTGGCTGTTTACATTTATAGATAATGAGAACACTTACCAAACTGAACATACAGTGAAGAAGAGAATGACGTAAGCTATACCAAATTGTAACAAGGTCACATAAAGTCCGGCGTTTCCAACGAGAAATCCAACACTGTAAATAATAAACAGATTAGTCATCAAAGTGATAATTAGAGCTATAATTCCTTATCATACCGAATAAAGACTAGTGCTGAAAACATTGATAATGAAACTGGAGCAAAACACCCACTAAATGTTCCCAATGTCCTCTGTTGGCCTGAACTATTTGTATTTCCATTATCTTGATTGCTAATTCCTCCAAATTCGACATATCCTTCATTCTCAACTGTATCTTGCTGCTGTCTAGTTCTGAAAATGTTCGTTAATCGCCTGACAACTGATGAATTTTGTCGATTTGGATTTGTAATTGGTATCGTCTCTGGATCATTGTTATTACTTCCTACGGACGAAGCAAGCATCTCCAGTTTTGTTGCCTTAAATTTATTATCTTAAATGACGAATTAAACAGCTGTTTGAGACAAAGAAAACCTAATGGATTATTAATACTACTATTTTTACATTTTTAGTGTAACAGATGAGTCATTGAACTCAAAAAGAAGAAGAGAATGAAAAATTGGTAATTGTGCAGTTACTCACCTACTCAACAAATTAAAATTTAATTCAACCTTTCACTTTTTACGTTCTACGTATTTAAATTACAGGAACATATCACTCAAATTTGTATTACAATTAATATTTTTCACAGATAACAAACAATGCAGTCAGATGATTTCAAATCATCAGCTTGAAAAAGTATCAAAACATCGACTGGATCTATCCGTACCTAAATGATGTCGCAATGTTAAGGAACTCTATAATTTGACATTCGAACAGGTTGCACGGTACGGTATATTATTTTTTTGCGTTTTATACTCTAATTAAGCATTATTATGTGAATGTTGTGTGATTAGTGTGCTTGTGGGTGTAAATTCGAGGCTGTAAATGAGCTAGTAAATTTAATTAAGGTGGAAAAAGTGAAATTAAAGTTATCATAGTTAAATCCCCTCGAATTTCAGTTGACGTAGAACTAATCCCCTCGATATTTAACATTTTTTCATTGAAAACTTGCTGTTGCTTAATTTTGTCTGACGGTCTGTTAACCTTTTTGCGCAATTTAATGGAATTAAACCTAAAGATGACAAGTAAGGATGGTTGATTAAGCTTAGTAAAATTTTACCATGGCAATCTAGGTGAATCTATGCAAGACAATTAATGTTGATCAACAAAGACAGAAAAAATGTGACCAAGATATAAACTTTAGCCATTTTTAAAGGTTTTAAAGCTTAACTTAATAAGCTATCAAGTCCAAATGTTACAAAATGCCTCAAGCATAAACATGTAGAACATAAAGATTACTAAAATGCCATGAGACAAGCTTGATCCATTAAAAAGCAGTAGATTGAGCACAAAAAAAGTCAAACGTGGAAAATGCGCATCATCACCGGTCGAATGTTCATAGCAAACGACTCAGTTACTCGTTAAACTTGTGTCTGTCGCTCGGATTTCTGGATGTATAAAAGTTATTTTGTGTAAAAATATTCTAATTTCTTTCCTTTTCTGTTCTACTTCAATAATATATGGATCCACGTTATTCTCAAGCAAACGCTCCTGATGCATATAACGCCTATTTATACGGTAAATATTGATTAATTTGTTTGATTTTTGTGGTTTTATGGATCATAAAACTACCTTGTCCTTTGTTTGCTCAAAAATAACCTAGCAAAAAATTGCGTAAAACGCATTTTCACATATATTTCTGTGTTATAAACAGCTTTTTCTGCCTATTTATTATCCAATCCTGCACAATTATTGCATTTGAGACATTACTTATACCTTACAATGTATATAAGATTCATTATTTATAATCCAGTAAGAAAAAGAAAAAGATGAAAAATTGAGAGAAAATTTTTGTGTATGCAGAAAAGTTGACAAGCTTGCTTGCTGTGCTCAATGAATATTTTGCAAGCGACTACATAGCTAAAAAAATAAGAGAGAGAATATTCTTAATTAAGAAAGTCGTGTGTTGGATATAGCTGTAAATAATATTGGTTTGGATTTATTGGAACGGGAAGTAAGTTGTCCGTCGTAGATATGTGAACTTGTGGTGATTTATTTGCTAATTTTGATAGAACCTAGAATTTTTGTTAATTAAACTATATTATCCTTACTCATGTTTTTCTGTTTTCTGTATTTTCTTTTTGGTGTACATTTCTACTACTAAATTGACTTCAAATATAAAAAAAAATAACTGTATCTGCACGTACATACCTGTATTATATATATATACATAAAAAATATACCTCACTAACATTCTTTGGTGCTGATCAGCCCAACACAATGCTGCTGCATTAAATCGGAATCAAGAATTATCTGCAAGTGCACCTGAATTCATTCCTAAGTTTTCTTCTCCTATATCAGGTGATTGGAACTATCAGGCACATCATCAAGAATCGTCACAAAACGTTTTTCCTTCGGCACCTCACGCATTTCCGCAAAACTCACGACCGTTTCCCCAACAACAACAACAACAGCAGCAACAATCTTATGCTCAACAACAGCGTCCTCATTTTCCAGTTTATCAACAACAACAGCAACAGACGAACCGAAATTATCGCCCTGATTTACTTCATAATCACCAATCAAATTATTCCAATCATCATCAGCAGCAACAACAACAACAACATCACGGGCAGCACTATTTAATGATGAATCAACAACCTCATCAATCAATGAGTGGCAACTATCAGCGTCATAATGCTGGAAGTGGAAATAGTGCAAGTTCAAGTGCTGGTGGTGGAGGAGGAGGTGACAATGGAATGATGCAATCAGGCAGTAGCATCCAAAATCGTTTAAACTTTAACAACGCTCAACAACCAGAACAGGTAGTTCAAGAACCAGTGCCTCACAGACAGGTAATAGCCAATTATATTCTATTTGGCATTAATAACTGTATATTAATTGTGACATATTATTTTTGGCAGACGGAAACTGAACAACTTGCGCTGGATTATCTGGGTGAAGTGATTACGAAACTGAATGATAATCCTGGACTCTTTGAGACCTATCAGAAAAAGCTACGCGAAATGTTTCTTGAGCTTGCGAGCAATCACTTTGTGATGAGTAATGCAATTGAAACGATTTTCGAGCAGGTAATGCTTTATTGAGGTCGATGCTGATTTCTTTTATATTAAATTGCAATTATTATATTTATAACAGTCGGTAAATGAGCAAAATTTCCGCTACACCGGTGCACGATTGTGTTTGCTGCTTGATAACTTGGATCTCTCGCCAAACAGCACTTTCCGAGGTTTGCTAGTTATGAAGATGGACTTTCAAAATACAGAACAAGTTCAATTTATGAACAATGAACAAAGACGCGTTCGAGGCAGTACATTATTTTTGGCAGAACTATTTGTGCAATTGACTAGACCTGAGGTATGTTATACTATCAATCATTCTAATAAGTGTCTTATTTGCGGATCATTAGAATCTTGTCTTATTCACATTTGAGTATGTTGACACAATTTTTTCCGTGACGGTTTGAGTAATTTGATTATTATTGCATTCATTCTCAAGTGTTAATTAAGTGCTAGAATATTGATGTCACTTGAATATTAGGAAAACCTTTAATTTCAAAAATTTAAATTCCAATAAATCCGTTAAAGTTCTAAAAACGTGGTCAATAATTCAAACTTTTGAAATTCGTTACTTTTCTGCATCAAAATCTCAATCTAATTATTTTCTTTGCTTAATTAAATTACTTTCAGGACACAAGGAGAGCTGTTGACGTTTCTCATTATGTGCTTGATTCGATTATGCTTTTACTTACCAGAGCTGGACCGGAGAACGTAAAATGCGTTTGTCAAACGCTAAAGGTGAGGCTCAACATAAAAACAACTTTCTAAAATCAGCAATTAATGATTGAAATCTTCATTTTACAGCTAGCCGGTTATGATTTGCAGAAGGAAAATCCAACGGAAGTTGAGGATGCAATAAATCAGCTAAGGCACATTTCCGAGGAGCAGAACATTGCAACAAAGCGATTAATTCAGTCGGTTGTGGATCTCTTTTATGATAATTGGGGAAGAAAAGATGGTAAGTAGTCTCTGTCCTGCTCAAAATAATCTTTATATTGACTACGAATGCCCTTGTTTAGAACAAGAAAACCAGCAACCCAATGCGGTATCCGATCTCCAACAAAATCCACCACAGTACAACGATAGTCCAGTTTTCTATGGACCTGACGGTAAAATCATCACTGAGGAGGAGTCGTCGTTCTTAAATTCGAATATGCCCGAAAGCTATCCAATTAATATTGACGAAATCATTGAGTAAGTATCAACTGACATATTTTAAGGATGTAAAAAAGGCAATGCTTAGTTTTCTATTTTCCAGCGATGAATCGGATTACGCTGATGAAGACGATGAACCAGAAATGGATCTAGAGATGCAAATGGCATATAAAGAGTTCATTAAGGATGGTGGACGAAAAAAGGATTAAACAATTAAGAATGAAAACAAGTGTAAAATCCGTTTTAATGAAAAATATTTTCGACAGAGTGCACATAACAGCGACAACAAGTTTATTTAAATTTTAAGCTATAAAAGTTCATCACGAAGGAGTTAAAAAAACGCCAACAAGCAGAAAAGTGAAGGAAATCCAACAAAATTTATATATTTTTCTGATCTTTTATTATTAATTATATATTTCGTTTCTGTAGCCGAAAAAAAAGGAAATAATCATGGACGAAAGAATTATTATTTTTGGGATAAATTCTATAGACTCGATGGGTTAAGGTTGTTTGAAGTCAATGTGTCATAAGTGATAGTAAAGTTAGAAATTTATTAGTGACAAAAAAAAAACAAAGTAAAAAAATAACGTAAAAGCTAAGGTGAAAAGTTGTGACACACGCTACTTTTTGACTATACCCAAAAACAAGATTTAAAGTTTATCCACGAGAAAGACAAAAAGGTTTATTTTAAAACTGTCCAAATTTTGATCAATTATTATTTTTTCCTTAATTTTGTAAATTTTGTATCACTATGTGAATCGCTTATATTTTTCATGAAACCGAAAAAAAGAAATATCACACAAATTTTCAGTATAAAACAATTAAAAAGTTTAAAAATTTCAATTCAAATTAAATTTAAACGTGTTTTTCTCATTTTTACATTTGTTTTTCTTCTTTTCAGTCAGCTGTGTTGACCTGATTGAGTTCAATTGATATTTTTGTTGTTGTTTTGAGGCACATTTTGAAGTGGAATGCGTTATCAGACACAATAATATTTAATCTTTTTGCTTTTCTAATTGAGTTTGGTAGACTTTGGAGGATGTAGTACATTTTCGACATAATTTTAAAGTGCTTGAAATTAGTATTTTAAGTTTCCATTAAAATTTTAAAAAATGAATAGTTATAAGAAATTCAAACAAAACTTAATGGCTTTCAAAAATTCATAATATTCAACGGCTTTCAAAAATTTGATTTTATTTAAACATTGAACTTTAACGGTTTTTATAAATTATTTGGTCATTCACTCATTCGTTCAATTTTTAAGAATGATATTCTTAAGGTTTTGGAACAAGATCTGAATTTATTTTGAAAAATTGAAACTGTTGAAGGGGGTAAATGTAATATTTAATATAACCCCTCATTAACATGTTTGATTGTATGAATTAAAATTCTATGATTCTTCGCTGCAAAAATCTTCAATTTCAAAAATTTCTTACAATATCCCAAGCCGTAAAGATCTTATCAGAATTATTCATCAAGCAAAGAAATGCACAAAACAATTTGAAAATCAAAAGACTAAAATATATAAATCTTTAATTCTCAAATATGCAAAAGAGTTTCTCGACGACGTAAGAAAATGCAAAACAAAGAATATTTATTATACAGCTATAACAAAGAAGATCGTCCTCATTGAAATGGAGAAGTAGTTAACATTGATGGCAAGTAGTAAATATTCATCGTCAAAATAAATAACAAGAATCAAATTTCATATCAACATGTTAAATTCTTCAAGCATACATGATTAATATTGAGCTTCTAAGATAGGCAACACGGAAATCTATCTGGCTCTGACTACCACGTGCAATATGATTTTGTTTTTGATTTGATCTAGAACTTTGAATGAGAATGCTACTGATCGGTAGATTCTAAAGTTAGAGAAGATGTGTTCCTGGTCACACCTAGCTAGATTTTAGAGAATGTTCGAGACTATTTAAACACATAAATCTTCAGTTAAGTCGACTCATAAAAAGGCAATCTACAAAGTTAAAATTATTTATTAAAGGCATTCTAGCAAGGGAGTTGAATTTATTGCCAAGTATATGCAAATCTGCTATAAAATACACAATACACTATGGGGCAAAATTGAAAAAAAGGGGTAATTCACTTCGAAAATAGGACTCTTTCAATTTAGGTTCTCGGGGTATTTTTTTCTTGTAGAGGACATTAAATTAGACTTGCATGCCAAATTTCAGACCATTTTGTGCTGTTTTTGAGATTCTAGAGCTATTTGAAGTTGAAAATGAGCAAAAAAACTGGTTTTTTCATGACATATTTAAACTTAAAAATCTCTGCAATGTTTAAAGTTATTGAAAAATTGTTTTCGGTTCCTATAAGAACAATATAAGAGCTTTATTTTAATGTATTGTAAAATTTTTAACTTTCCAGTTTTGGTGCTGGTATGGTTGGAAATGTACGAAAATCCTATGAAAAATATCTATAAACGTGCCGCAACTATCTTAGCAGGTCGATTTCCAGGTAACTGAATATACAGAAATATAGCTCTTGATATACAGTTTGTAAAACTGTATAAACATTAGAAATAACAAAGTACGTTTTTGAGAAAAATTGGTTTGTGTAAGTCGTGAAATATTAAGCCAAAAACTGATTTTTCTCTTAAAAATAACAAATCATTTATAGTAGAAAAGTTTGGTAATGTTTTCTAATTGCAAATAATATTTAAAGACAACCTGCAAAGATTTTTTTTCGAAAAACTCAAAATTTGACGAGATATCGGGTACATTTGATATCTGATGACTTGTATGTTTTTTGCACCACTCAAATGACTCTAACTTTTGTTTAACTTAATATTTTTCAGTTCTGTTTCCTGTTTATTGTAGCTTAAGTCAATACCTTTCTAACAATATATAATACTTGATAGTTGCATATGACATTGATCTTGATTATTGGCATTGTTTGTGAATGACCCCAAACTAAGAAAAATCTTGAAAACAACATTTCTAGAAATACCACTTAGAAAGAAAATTGTATATTGTTTTGAGGTTTTTTATGATGATTTATGATAATTATGACTGTTAAAACTCAAAAACATGGAATTCATAAACTTTTTGCGATCTCAAGTTGGTACGACCCTAGTAGTATCTATTGGACCAGAAAGTCTCTAGTATCAGACTATTTTAAAAACTCAAATTAATGAATTCATCATATTTAAGCATATTTATAGCAAAATATTTCATTTTTAGATACTTTTGGTTGAAAAATTGTGAATTTTGGCTATTTTGTTTAAGTTCAGCTTGCGTCGGTCACATTCAATCCACTCTAGTTGCAACTATAATGAAGTTTTATACCAGTATTATACATTATCTTAAAGGTACTGATCTAAACTAGCAATAATTGAAAACAGAATGCAAAAATATGTATCCTGAAAAAAGTTAGAGCTCTTTATGTACATAAAAAAGCATACAAAAACGCAACCATCATAGGTAAAAATACAAAAATTTAAAATTTCAACGAAAATCTTACAAAAAAGTATTGAAAATGTGTTTATATGTGGTTATTATTACAAAAAAATCAAAGCTTGTCAAAAAAAACTGATAAATTTTAAATTTTTGTATTTTTACCTATGATGGTTGCGTTTTTGTATGCTTTTTTATGTACATAAAGAGCTCTAACTTTTTTCAGGATACATATTTTTGCATTCTGTTTTCAATTATTGCTAGTTTAGATCAGTACCTTTAAGATAATGTATAATACTGGTATAAAACTTCATTATAGTTGCAACTAGAGTGGATTGAATGTGACCGACGCAAGCTGAACTTAAACAAAATAGCCAAAATTCACAATTTTTCAACCAAAAGTATCTAAAAATGAAATATTTTGCTATAAATATGCTTAAATATGATGAATTCATTAATTTGAGTTTTTAAAATAGTCTGATACTAGAGACTTTCTGGTCCAATAGATACTACTAGGGTCGTACCTAATCAGGCTACCTGAGATCGCAAAAAGTTTATGAATTCCATGTTTTTGAGTTTTAACAGTCATAATTATCATAAATCATCATAAAAAACCTCAAAACAATATACAATTTTCTTTCTAAGTGGTATTTCTAGAAATGTTGTTTTCAAGATTTTTCTTAGTTTGGGGTCATTCACAAACAATGCCAATAATCAAGATCAATGTCATATGCAACTATCAAGTATTATATATTGTTAGAAAGTAGGGTTCGGAAAACCACTAACTGATTATCTACAGTTATCAACTTTTAGATTATCTACACAAAATCTACAGTTATCAACAGTTAGTAAACTGTAGATAATTTCTTTGAATGAAGAAAATCCGTTAAAAAAATTTGCAAAGTTTTGTAAACAAACAATTTTTGGAGACTTTTTTAATAAATTTATATATAGAATACACTTATTATACATGAAGAGAGCTCAAATGTCAACATTAGCTATTAAAAATCAACTTTTTGTTTATCGAATATTTGTAACGGTTATATGAAATTCAAATATTGTTCACATGTTTGTAAACAAAAAAAATTTGCGAAAATTTCTTAATTTTCAATTAAATCACCACACAAACGCTTTTAAAATACTGAATGAAGCCTAATGTCACTTTATTTGAACTGTTACATGCTGTTGCAGTCCTGATTTTAGCATTTCAACTCTTTTTTCAGTAAATTAATAACGTTTTTTTCCACTTTGAAAAAATTATCTACAGTTACTTATCTACAGTTACAAATTGTAGATAACTGTAGATAAGTGTTACTAACTGTTAATAACTGTAGATTTCCGAACCCTATTAGAAAGGTATTGACTTAAGCTACAATAAACAGGAAACAGAACTGAAAAATATTAAGTTAAACAAAAGTTAGAGTCATTTGAGTGGTGCAAAAAACATACAAGTCATCAGATATCAAATGTACCCGATATCTCGTCAAATTTTGAGTTTTTCGAAAAAAAATCTTTGCAGGTTGTCTTTAAATATTATTTGCAATTAGAAAACATTACCAAACTTTTCTACTATAAATGATTTGTTATTTTTAAGAGAAAAATCAGTTTTTGGCTTAATATTTCACGACTTACACAAACCAATTTTTCTCAAAAACGTACTTTGTTATTTCTAATGTTTATACAGTTTTACAAACTGTATATCAAGAGCTATATTTCTGTATATTCAATTACCTGGAAATCGACCTGCTAAGATAGTTGCGGCACGTTTATAGATATTTTTCATAGGATTTTCGTACATTTCCAACCATACCAGCACCAAAACTGGAAAGTTAAAAATTTTACAATATATTAAAATAAAGCTCTTATATTGTTCTTATAGGAACCGAAAACAATTTTTCAATAACTTTAAACATTGCAGAGATTTTTAAGTTTAAATATGTCATGAAAAAACCAGTTTTTTTGCTCATTTTCAACTTCAAATAGCTCTAGAATCTCAAAAACAGCACAAAATGGTCTGAAATTTGGCACGCAAGTCTAATTTAATGTCCTCTACAAGAAAAAAATACCCCGAGAACCTAAATTGAAAGAGTCCTATTTTCGAAGTGAATTACCCCTTTTTTTCAATTTTGCCCCATAGTGCAATATATTCTTGCAAAAATCTTGTTTAATAGTGACAACTCCTGAGTTATGGGCATGATTCACATATCCTGAAAAACAAATTGACATATTTAACACATTTATTACAATTATAGCGATAGAGAGGAGAGGAGAGTCTCACACATACATACAACAAAGCAAAACGCATTATTTTTCATTGCAAGGAAATTAATTAATTTTAAGCATTTATAAAGCTTATTTGGCTTACATTTATATATAGTATCAATCTATACGCTTGCAGAAAGTGATTATAATTGATTAAAAGTACTATTTCGGTTTTGTC